AGCACCAGAAGCTAACAACAACGATCTCCGGTACTGGTGCGCTCTCTCTCTCTCGCTCGCGCACGCACACAAAATGGCTCGTTCCACACACACACAGAGCCGAGCTTGAATGAAACACAGAGACCCATACGTACCTGTACTGTACTGTATCATATTATTTTCGATTTTTTTTAAATTTTCTTTTCAAAACCATTTTTCCTCCTGGTCTCTCGCGCCCCCCGCTTTGAGAAACACTGCTTTAGCCTGATAAGACCTTCAAGAGCGTGTGGGCGTGTGCAGACAGCACTTTATTGACAAATCTCTTGGTGACATCACAATTTCCAACATAGCACCATATGGTTATAATCAGCTGTGAGGGTGAGCAGAGCCTCTTATGGGGACAGGTAAAGCTTTATGTGTATTCATTTAAATGTAGTATATTTAATGTTACGAAAATCCCTTGGCATTTTGAGATGCACTTTGTCTGCAGTGCACCACCAGTCTTAAATCAGTGTTTATTCTCTCTTGTAATTGCTTGTTAGAAGGCATGCCGGTGTGGAGAAAGGCTCCCTTACTAACAAGCAATAGTCTGGCATTTTCTCCAAAATGGGACCGGGTGTAGCTAAAACAAAATAAAGAAGGAAAAATGCTACAGACCATTAAAAGGAGACATAAAAGACTCAATTTCAGGTTCATACTTGTTTTTTGGTTTTCTAAAGTTTAAATTCCTTCATTTTTCTCATACTGGTGGTGCGAATGTATCTGTTTTTTACCCTCTGTCTGCTCTGATTGGCTTCAGAACTGCAAAAGTTGTTGATGGAGATACTCAGATGGGGGCAGTATATTCTATTGCATTTGACATATGAAGGGGAGGAACAATATTTTCTGACTTGAGGCAGCACATAGAAAACTAACTGGATTGACTTGTTTTACAGTTGGTTGGTAGCCACTCTATTTACCCAAATATAAGTGAAGTAAAAGTGGAGGTTTCTTTCTAACATGTCCCCTTTAACCTGAGAGTTATGGGACTTTTCTGTGGGAAATGCATGGGGGAAAATAATTCTGAAAAAATGTGTGGAGATAAATAACAAGACACTACCAAACAGGGCACTTAGGATAGCTAAATAGTTGGATTATAATGATAATTTCTTCAGCTTTTACAGCCATCTAGTCTCAACTCAATTTATCGATCCACCATCATCATCAGACTGACAAATGAGGGAATAAGTTTAAAAATTATAAAAAAGAAGACTTCCAAGTCTTGGAGAATCTAAAGCAGAGATTATCATACTGTGAGACGCACCTTCACAAGCGGGCATGGGGGAGTTGTAATGAAGGTGTGGAGGAAGAAATTGCGTGAACAAAGATATTGAAAGGTTAAAGGGACAGGTGTGATGTTGTTAAAACTACAGGAAGTAGGTTATTGCAGTTTGGCCATCTTACCAATGGTGTCAACAGTTGCAGTGGCTGTGACAAATGTTAACAAAGACACAAAACACATATTTTTTACATTCAGTGTGACTTTCGCTTGCCAGCAATATCATTATCTCCTTTTCCATTGGAAATATAATTGCGTAAATCCACCGTTTACATCCAATCTAAAACATTTTGAAACGTAGTTGTCTCCATTTGGTAACTTTGGTACCGCTGGATTAGTCACATACACGAGACACTAAACATTTGTGACATTGGTCTTTCAGTTAATTAGCAACTCCACAGTTTTCTTTTCCAGTTTGTCCTGCTTATACTGCCTACGCAAAGCTGCCACTCAGCCACCCACATCATTTACAAAGAAAAACAGTTAGTTGTGATTGCTGTTCTCATTATCTCATATCATGCGCTGCCTGTTGAACTCGTGCAGAGTCGATGTAACTGTGGAACAATACTGTTTATTTCTCTCAGTTGGCTGAAGGCTTTGCTAATCAGGCCCATTATTGACATCTGGATGTTCAGGATTTTATTCATCAGTCCAAACTGCACTGTTTTGGTGTTCTGTCACTATATTTCTGTGTCTTTCATTATCTCTAAGCGTAAAGTTGTATGATGCTAAGTGGAATAAATTAATATATAAGCACACAAGCACACACTGGGGGGAAGAAACTGCAGAGCTTATCTTCAAAGTCTCAGTTCTCCTGCCTCTTCTGTGTGTGATTGTGTTTAATTATTGATGCATTTACCTGTAGGCAGTACAAAAATAGTAAAGTGAATATAGAAACAATCAATTTTAAACATCAAAAATTCAAATTCAACAAAAATTAAGTACTACATTAAATTACATTTCCCCCTTCATCCTGAAATGTATCTCTGACCGGATACTTTGTTGCTAACCATTATAAGCACTTTATTCATCATTATCTTCATTAGCTGACTGAGTCTCACATGGCTGTCAATCCCTTGACACTGAAGGCAAATTATAATGTGATTCACAAATAATTAGTGTGATAATTGCTTCAGTTACACCATGCTAACAAACTGTGAGGTCTCTGAGAAACTCAAGCCAGCGTCCGGACGCAAAACACAAGAGAAGTTGTTGTTGGACAACTAATGTTACTGCAGAGCGGATTTACAATACATAACAACTTCAATCTATTCCTTGGTTCCTTTTTGCAATTCTTTATGATGGAAATGATTATGTTAGAGAAATCATGCAGTGTAACACATGCTGGGGTAAAAATCTTAATTATTTTACAGAGAAAATTATATTATTGATAAAAGTACTAAATATAGGACAGTAGTACTGCAGTAGTAGCGCGTAGTGTGGTTTATGTAAGGGATAATGTGCAGCGATGCGGTCATTATCCAGTATTCAACTAAGCCATGTAATAAATTGATTATTACATGGCTTAGTTGAATACTCGATTCTGATTGGTCAATTTAGAACACGTGACACGTTGTTAATCCAGAACAGACAGACCGTTGTCAAGGATTTATTGACCGTTGTTAAGGACGCTCACATCTGCACAAACAAGTCCGGTCGATTGAACTGTATACAGTTTGGCTTTTCTAACTGACAAGACAAGAGCGACAAGGAAACAGCGGAGAAGTAACGGGGCAGAAACCCTCCTTTTTACGCAGCGGTCCAGACATAGACATCAAACGGCGACACATATTCAGTTGCCAGTTACTTTGGCATTAGGGCAGGGATATCTAGATACTTTCCAAGGTTTGACATCATGAATTGTGCTAATTTTAAGCAAGCAACGATGTTTTCAAATCTGTAATCAAAAAGCTCTGCCTTCCTGCCGTTGCGTTGCTACGTTTTTTTTTTCAAACGGTAACAACGGACTATTTTCCTTAGCGGATGCATGTCAATTTAAATCAATACATACAACTATTTTTTAAATCAATAAAATCATTTTCTAAATCCATAAAAGCATTTCAATTAATAGTGGGAGTCATATCATTACTTTGTTGAGAATGTGGCCATGTAATAAGCGGGATAATGTGCAGCGACTTGGTCATTATGGGGAAAAGAACACCTTCATGCCGATCTAGATCACTCCGCTTCGCGTCGGGCTCCTGATCAGCCTGTCGGTGTTCTTTTCCCCATAATGACCGCGTCGCTGCACATTATCCCTTACTTATTACATGGTTTAGTTGAATACTCGATTCTGATTGGTCAATTCAGAACACGTGACACGTTGTTAATCCAGAACAGACAGACCGCTGTCAAGGACTTATTGACCGTTGTTAAGGATGCTCACATCTGCACAAAGAAGTCCGTTCGATTTAACTGTGTATACAGTTTTGGCCGAAAAGCAAACTGCATGCAGTTTGCTTTTCGGCATGCAGATGCAGATCTAGATCCCTCCGCTTAGCGTCGGGCTCCTGATCAGCCTGTCGGTGTTCTTTTCCCCATAATGACCGCGTCGCTGCACATTATCCCTTACTTATTGCACAGGCCTGGCTATGAATGAATCAGTGCGAAAAGTCCTATAAGAAATATTTTGTGCATGCACAAATATACATACATATGGAGGCAAGCAATGGGAAGTTTTGCCAGAACATATTTGCTCCTGAGTTATGGAGTTGGCTACTTAAGGAAACCGGCTGACTGGAAGAATACTCAATTGGGATTTAAAATAAAATCTACTTTGGTCGAGAAATAACGTGTGATAAATGTGTGGAATTTATAATTACGAAAGGAGTATTTATTTGTTAAAAGAAGCCATGTTTGATGAGATTAATATTGGGTTAGCAACTTGGTTATGTAAAAATGCTTCATGGATTTATGTTGTTTCTAATTTATTTAAGAAACAACGTTTTTAATGTGCCTTTTTTATTCAACTATCATTTCTTCAACCAATCTCTATGTTTTTGGGCATGGAGAACTGCCAAGCAGTCACTGGTGTTGCAGCATGTCAGTGTAAAGAAAAAAGCAAGATGAAGAAGATGAGTCGTTATAGGAAGTTTTCTTACTTTAGCCCCCTAAGGTACACTTTGTCACAGCGTTGAACCCGATCCAACCAGTTTAAAACCTGGACTACAACTGAGCGTCACTAAGTGAATCAAATATTAACCACACTAAATGATTTCTCTGTGTGACTGGGGGCACCAATGAGACATCTATAATCTGTCACAGATGTAACTACACCCACTTGCAATGTGGTAAATAAAGTATGGTAGAGAAGATAAGAGCAGTTTAAGGGACAATTTAAAATCCTTAAAAATAAGACATAGATGAGAGATAAAAATAGGGTGTAGCTCAATATAGAGTAGATGGAAGCAAATATCAGGAGATTCATGTAGGACATTCGTGGAGGACAAAACCCTGAGACTTTTTCTTCTGTGTTTGAAGATACAGTTTCCCAGGATAAGATACTGTATGTTTTTGTGATTTGTACGTGCTGTTCAGCAGCAAATGATACAGGGGAATTATACTACGGACCTTCATTGCTTGCTGCTCATTATTTGCCCATATCGTTCTATGGATAAAGGTTTGACTTCCTCTCTGTATTTTACAGGAACATGATTGGCTGTGAGGGCTTGAAGGGGTGAAATCCTGAGAGGTGGCCGCTCCAATGGCGTGGACCGAGCCACGGACGCGCCCAGACCCAAAGCAAGAACCAAAATTGACGCCTTACAATGGCAGGACTTTTCCATCAGCCATCCTTCAAGTGCAGCCTCCATTTTTACTGCCCATCCTTCTCCTGCTTGCTGCCTTTGCTGACCTGGGAACTGCCGGTCCACCCCAGCCAGCCCGCCCCCCTCTCCTGTCTGGACAGCCTTTTATCATCTTCTGGGGCATTTCTGACTCTGCCTGCTCCGGTCGGCCAGATCCAAGCTCTTATGGGATGGAACGGGAGGGCCGTGTGGCCGTTTTCTATGAGGACACACTGGGGAACTACCCTTATTTTATAGATAAAGACACACCGGTCAATGGCGGGTTACCACAGCACACACGGCTGGACAACCACCTTCAAAAGACACAGCAGGACATAGAGGCAGCTTTACCTGCCCCAAGGTACCTTGGGCTGGGGGTGCTGCGCTGGGCAGAGTGGGTTCCCCAGTGGTCAAGAAACAGAGAGAAGCAGGCGATGTGTCTAGAGGCATCTAGAAACCTGATGAAGAATTTCTTTCCGAGCTGGACCCCAGAAGAGGTCGAGAGGTGGTCACAGGTAAGACAAGTTAAGCATAATGACCTATAAAATGGGTAAATGGCAGAAGAAGAAACATCTATGGAGGTAAGGAACAAGGTAGGAAACACACTTGCAAAAATATTAAGAGGAAAGATAAAAGAACATAAAAAGTGAGGTTGTCAGGTTATGGCTGTTATTAGAGAGCAAGCTTTCAAAGTTGTTGGTGGTTGACGGGGAAGAGTGTAAGATGCGGATGGAGAAAAACACTTCCAAAAGTGTTTTTCTTTATTCAAAAAAACATCTTTGCTACAAATACCTACTTTGACTAATAACATCAGTATGTTACCATTTGCTTTTGGTTATTAAACTAAAGAATCGGTATTATGTTGGCAATTATATTTCTTTCTGATGTGAGCACCTTTTAGGAGGAGGGATATGAGTAAGGAACAGAAGAAAGAAGAGTGACAGAATATAATTACTTAATGTGATGACTCACATGACAAAGTGCACAATCTTCTGAGAAGAAACAAAAATTCATAATTTACAACAAAGAGTAAAAACAGATTTACTTTGATTTTGTTAATTTTAAATGGTTTTATAAACAAGGAGCCTTTTTAACATAGTAGGTGACTATTATCTCCTGTTTAAATGTATGCAAATAGATGTTAAATTGTGGTTGGACTGGAATATGTCCAACCACAATTTAACATTACACTTTGGAAAACAGGCTCCTTCATATTCTTGCATTTAGAAGAAGGCCGATACCATTATCATGTTTTTAACACATGTTTTTAGATCAGCATAAAGATTGGAAACAGGATGAGACAGGTAGCTGGGTTCTCTCCAAAGGTAGCAAAAATGAATAAATACTAGGTTATATTTTTGGTTAATTCATACAAAAACCAAAATGTAGAAACACAGGCGGTCATGTACTGGACATTCCGGAGTTCTGTATTTCCAATTAAGTTTCCCAGCAACTGGCAGAGACGCCATAAAGGGACTGTGCCTGGTCCAGAAATAGTCTGCAACTTAATCACAGAGTCACTGTTACAACTCAGTTTTTCTATGGATTAAACAAACGAGATGTAGAGTATTAATTAGTGAACTTCTGCAATGCCAGTCCAAGATAACTATCCCGTCTATCGCCAATCAGTTTTGCGTCTGGGCGCGGTCAATAGTTTTAGGGTTTAAATGTAGGTTGCGGATATTCAGGCAACACCTGTATATCCTGTGTGCAGTTGATTGTATTTAATCTGATTAGCAATTGGAGACACGTGAATGGAGTTAGAGTTGAGAGACAATGATTCGGCCAATGCCCTCTGCCTGTTATGCTATTAATAAGGACTGCTTACCTGCATGTTTCCGGATGTGATTAGGTCATAGTGTTCGTGCTACAACCGGACTTCTCTCCTATACATTACGCATTTAATAATAATAATAAAAAATTATATTTATATAGCGCTTTTCTGGAACTCAAAGACGCTTTTTATGCAAATATCTGATAATGAGGTTATCTAATTTAAAACGAGTAAGCAGAATAGGGTTTTGTGTTAAACTATTTATTTAAACATATTAAAAAATCCTGTCAATCCAACAGCTGTCCTGCTCACTGATTTGCAACATTTTCCAGAGCTTTCATTTAAATAAAAAAATAAAAACCAGAAGATTGAAGAACTGCACATTTTCAGATCACAAAAGAGGAAGGGTCCTGAGGGCACTGAAAAAGGTTCTATTGATCTTGTCACAGGTGGACTTCGAGGCAGCAGCGCAGGCAGTAATGACGGAAACTCTACGGGATGTCAAAAGGTTGAGGCCCAAAGCATTATGGGGAGTCTCCCCTTACCCCAGCTGCTACAGCGGGGATCCCGCCCAGACCATATTAGCCAATTACACCAGCCAGTGCCCTGCTACGGAGATGGCCCTTAACGATGAGCTTCTGTGGCTATGGAAACGATGCTCCGCCCTCTACCCTCTCTTCACCCTGGAGAAGATGCAGGTGGGTAACGCCAATGTGTTGTTCTTTTGTCTATTTGAGATTTCTGTTTTCGGTAAAGAATCAACTGGTAGCCCAATTTTCGAGAATAAAATAGGTTGACCCTTGAGAGCATTGCAGTACCTTTTGGAGACTGGATAAACAAGTGAACATTATGTCTTGCATGGACTGCGATACGATGTAATTTATACTTCCGCAAACCATGCTGATGTCATCTCTAAAACACGCAAGTAAATTTTCCTGCAAATTGTATGATGTGTGTTTCTTTGCATCATCTAAACAAACAACCAAAATAAATCTATTTGGATATAAAAAAAATATGTGTTGTAAAATAAAAGATCGAGGTCCTACCAAATAGGTCAGGCCAAAGGCAAAGTCCCCAAAACGTTTTTTAGTTGTACGCGCAAATACTACACGATTGCTGCATGACAGATGCGCACGTGGCACTTCAGCTATAGTCCACCGAACATTAACAACGTTACTCAACTGCAAAAAGACTACTTGTAGTGTAACACCAAAAAAGCACATGAAAAACACCATGACTGGATTATCAGTGAGGACTTGTGAATTTGTCCTTGTCAAAACCATCATAAACCAACACCTTTGTAAAGCCAGATATTCAATACAATATATAAATCTGCCACTTTTTCTGATAGGGTGGTACCTCTGGAGCAAGGCTTTATTTGTCCAGTCAAATCAAAGAAGCACTACGAGTTTCGTCTCTGAGTGGGACGGCATTTGATCTTCCTGTATTCCCACTGATCAAGAGTGTCTACACCTCTACTAACACTTTCCTGTCACAGGTGAGGTATTATTGTCCGGTATTGATTAGAATCATGTTGTATTATAGCAATAATTATACTAAGAGGTTCTCAAATCTCTTGGAATATTGAAAAGAAACAATAAGAAAGGATTTTTGGATTTGCACTCTGATCTTCAGTGAATGAATTAAGGGTGAAATAAACAGATTCCTCTGGTAACAAGTATAATGGTGTTCATACTAATACAGAGGATAGCTGAAAAACAACGTGCTGTGTTTTGACTTTTACAGCTTCTTTGAATACTTTCTTGTTAACAGGCAGACCTGGTCAGCACCATAGGAGAGAGTGCTGCCATGGGAACAGCCGGAGTTGTCATCTGGGAGAGAAGTGAGACTAAGACGGAGGTATAAACCCCTACATTTGCATAAAGTGCATACAGTACACCCACAAATATCTCTGCACGTTTTTTCCAGCCACTGAGTATTATAAAGGATATCATGGACTTCAGCTTCTTAATCCATAGCTTTACCATTTTACTTACAAAAATGGCTTTATGTGGGCAAACAGTTTCTTCATCCAAATGAAGTACAAACGTTATTTACGATCTACCCATCTACTTCTCAGAGAGAATGTCAGGACCTAGCAGAGTTCGTCCGTAAGGTACTGGGACCCTACTCCATGAACGTAACCACGGCAACTCGGCTTTGCTCAGCCTCTCTGTGCCAGGGAAAGGGACGATGTGTTCGTCAAAATCCAGAAAGCTCGGCATACCTCCACCTCCCGCCGCCCTCCGCACTCACACCTCCATCTCCATCTCCATCCGAAGTGGTGGAGAAGGAGACAGAAAAGGTGAGAGAATGTGATTTTAAGGAAGATGTAAAGATGTATCCGTTCTGGATTTATAAAGCCCTGTATACTCTTATACTATTCAATTGCAGTGATCATTAATCCTGTCCACCAGCTTGATGCCCACTCGGGTTATGGCTCGTTCTCTTCTTGGTGGGGTGACTCTAAGAGCCTTACGGAATAACTTTTTCAGTTTTCAGTTAATTGGCTCGTGTAGCTTAAGACTTTAGCAACTGCTCAATAATAAACCCCAAGTACTTAAAGAATATTATGATAACTGTATTTAGAGAGGAGTTCATTCGGGCTCCAGAGCTTTGAATTCACCCACTAAATTGAGTGATTTATCTGGCGTCCTGACACGAAACAATGATTCCTCGGTTGAAAAGCCATTGATCCAATAACCGCGAAGGAGGTACTGACAGCGTTGTCAAGCATTTGGGATGTTGAATATTAGTAAATTGGCTATGACAACTTGGATTCCAAAATGTATTTTTATTTCCTAAATTAATTGTAGTTTTTCCTTTGCTCCTCTCCACTTTTAAAACTATGGCATGTATGTTTAGTATGTTTTCATGGCTACGTTACAGTGTTGAAATAAAATGTGGTTATGTTCAGGCAAATACTTTGGTCTCCACTCAAATATTGGTAGACGCAATGTCCGACGAAGGACGAGTGTTATTCTCTCTGATATCAGGCCAGGTTGATTCAACATTATAATTATTTGTAGGCTGTCTTTTGTCTTGCTTTTAAATTGAGCAAACCACAGTTTTAGCTACATGTTGGCCTCTGGATTGTACAGTATGTCCTTAAAGGGGTAGGTAAGAATGGAGACACCAGCTCGAGTGCGCTAGAATTTGAAAGTACACAACCGAAAATAATCTGCCCCTTCCTTCAGACTTCCTTACAGAGCCCCTCCTCCAACACACACGAACGCGCACGTGACCAATGAGGGCACGAGATAAGTTTGTGCACGAGATGGAAGGCTGACTGCCTGTCAGCCTTCCATCTCGTGCACAAACTTATCTCGTAGGTAGGTCATCCAATGATCTGCCGCGGGCCGAGGCAGATAATTGGACTTGCTTTTTACAGCGCCACGGCTTCCACAGATGAAATTTTTGTATATATTTATTGTCAAAGCATTTAATTTATTCATTGCTATCGGGATGTTAAGAGCATTCCATGGAATATAACAAAAAGTGTTTCTGAAGTGAATTACCTGTAAGTTACAGCATTTATTGAGCAAATCCTGCCTGTAGCAAAGTTAACAAACCCATACAACGGTGAGATACAAGAGCCTAGTACTATGTGCTGAAAAGATGCAAGCTCCTTCATAAAATCTCTCAGTCTCTTTGACATCCCTCCCCTTTGCTACCGAAGAGTTGAAAGGTGTAGGAAGAGAAACACGTTCTCAACTTGTGTTTCAGTGTGAAGAGTAGGAAACGGAACAACTAATTTTAACTCACGAAAGATAAAGACAACCAAGACAACAGCAGTTGCCTGAGGATCTTCTGTGTTTGGACAGTAAGAAAGCAGCGAGGGAAACAGTAGAGGAGATACAATGGATAAAGTTTAGCTGAAGCCCTGAACAAAGTGTTCCCTGGGAACACTTATCACTGCTTGGAAATGTCTGGATGTACTTTGAGGATATTTAGTTGTCATAAAAAGTACAACACAATGTGGAGTCTGAATAATGTTATAACCGCAGAACACCATGACATTTTTTTTTCCTTCGAATTTGAGGCAGACTTTTTTTATCCAATTTCATTTCCACAATGATATTATAAATGGTTCCTCTAAGAAAATAATATAATAATCTAAGAAACATTTTCTAATGTTGAACATTATTTTCTCTTTCAGGGAGAGGCAGAAAAAGCCGCAGAGGCAGTAAAAGCCACAGATCAGCCAGACCCAAACACTAAAGGAGCCGAACCAGACCCAGCGGAGATCTGGAAGAAGGACTTCCAGTGCCAGTGGTACAAGACCGCAGACGGGGAGGTCTCAGACCAGCAGTCCCCCAAAGACGGAGCGTCCGTTAGGGTTAAAGTAAAAGAAAAGGCTGAAGATGTAATGGGGACAACAAGAGCTCCTTCTACAAGAGCTTCTACAACAAAAGGGGCCTCTGTGATTGAGTCAAGAGGAAGCAGTTCAGCTAGTACTGAAAGTCCATCGCCTTCCCTGGAATTAACTACCAGTAGTTGTACGACTCCATCGAGTGCCCCAAACCTTACTGGTCTGCTGTTGCTGGTGGCTGGAAGTCTTACCTGGAACTTTCAAATGTGAAGAAACCAGCCTTTATCAGGAAGCTCTGGGTTAGGAATGCAATATGAGCCCTTCTGAAGTGCCCTTGAGCAAGACACTGATCACTGCCAGCTGCAGGAGTGCTGCTCTGTTCAGTACAACACCCTATGTTTAAAGCTGGAACTTCAAACATATCAACAAATGTGCCAAGAGACATTAGTGGTACACACACTTGTCACTTTTTCTTTCAGTTTCTCCAGGCTGTATTTAATCCTTTTCAGAGAAAGGAGATGTGACATATTAGATATGTATTGTCATATCGAATCAGCCATGTTTTACCGTGATCACAGACACAGGAAAGCAGTCTGTTTGGGTTTTTTTTTTTTGCACATTTTGTTTGTACATTTGTCTGTCTGTGCTTTGCAAGTTTCTCTTTTCATTTAGTAGTTAAGTGGGATTTAAAGGGGTGAGGTGAGGTATATTTGAAATACAAGTGAACCAGCCCTTTAATCTGTCTTAACGAGTTATCGTTTTTGTTCATTCCTTTTCCAGTAGTAAGTTTGACATCCATATCTAGGACAAAGGACTATGTGTTAACATTGGCCTTCAAATGTTGCATATTGTCAAAAACATCCAGACTTTGTGGCATCAAATATTAGTATTTTTTAAAAGGTCCATTCACTTAACTGCAGCTCATAGCTTCTTCTGCCTGAGTTGTAGCTAAATTCAACATGGTCATTGTAATTGAAATGTTAAAGCAGCAAAAGCAGAGGTGTAAACAATACCATTATTGATGGCTGGATTTCATTTAACTGATTCAGCTTCAGGGTCCTGTTGTGCATGCTGGCTCACTGTCACAGCTTACAGGGAATACAACAGAGCCATGTTATTTCTGACATTGTGCTTTTCCTGCTGTGACATCAAAATATCTTCTGTGAAAAAGCTTCTTGGTCTCACCAGCATGTAGTTATTGAATTTAAAATGTCTGTTTCAAATGCAGTATCTGTTGATTAAAGGACATACATTCAGTTCATAATAGGCATCTGTTCATATATGTACATATTTTTGTAAGCAAGTGTTGTTTATATTTGTTACTTCCTCCATCACATCCTTCATTGCTTCTTGAAGCAGTACACTGTAAAAAAAAAAAAAAAAAAGTATAAAAATATAAACCCGGAAATGTTTGTTTTTGCAGCTGATGTAAATGTATTTGTTATTTTTCAATAAAATATACACTCAAGACGAAGGGTATCTAAATCATTTTTAGTTACAGAAAGAAATATGTACACAGGTGCATCTGATTGTACAACAGAACATTTGTGTATCATACATTTATGAGATACAGTGGCGAGCCGTCAGGGCCCTCTAGGCCCTCAGGGGCCTAAGATATTCTACAAAATAATATTTAAAAACATTAAAAAATATATATTATTTTTAATATATTTTTTAAAAATATATTTCATTAATTTTACCAAAATAACTTGATTTAATTGTATTTAAAATGACATTTCCAAATAAATAAATCCTTCGAATCTGCCTATTCAGTTTCTGTTTGAATGTGAAGGTTTAAATGAAAGAAGCTCGTCTCTGCGAGTTACTGTGAAGACAGGAGCTGATTGGTGGTCCTGCTGTAAATTCACAGAGGGCCAGCTATAGTAACTGAATGAGAGAGTAATGTCAAATGACAGTACAATTGACCAATTATATTTTCCCTCTAAATGGGTGGGTTTTATTATCGCGGACTTTATGGCAAGTTCCGCCCGCTGTGAAGCTTTTCTTGTTTCCATAGCAACAACAACTTCCTGTCAACAGCGTAAACTCGCCTTCAAAATAAAAGCATGCCAAATTACACTTGACATACAACTGCAACGAAAGTAACAAACACAATGCAATATCCTTTTCAATTTCAAAGAACACAAATTGGGTTATTTACAGGTGGTAGAGGGTCGCTTTCATTGATGCGTTTTGCACATTTTGTATACGCTGTGACGCAATAACTATTTTTTTTTTTTTCGAGGGAAGGGGTGGGGGTCAGAGGGCCTAGGTATAACAGTCACGGCTCGCCACTGGATATGAACAAGGACATTTCCTGCCAGAGCTCAAGGATCCTTTCTCACGTGGACAATTTACCAAAGGTCCACTCTCTGGACATTTACCTTCATCTGCAAGAGAGCATTTACATTTTCACAACGTGGAGGAAATTACAGTTAAATCAAGGGAATCAGGATCAATATATTTTTTATTGTAGGCTTTTCATCTATGCTCATCTTCGTTTTTAATAATATCCCCGACAATGTTCACAAACTTTTGCCAAAAAGGTCAACTGAAGTGACAAGCAGACAAAGAGCAGATTTCACACAGAATTTAATTTGTGAAGCCAATCACATTATCTTTCCCCACAGAGATGAAAACACATTAACAGGTACAGAGCCAAGGTTAAAAAGTGTAACTACTCTGCTTTGCAGTATTGCTCTGATAAACGTTTTGTAGATTTAAAATCCCCAAATCCATCAGTAATACGTACAATTATCTACCACCAGTGCAATGACAGACGTACTGCAGTATTTTCATTAAATTAAGTATAATGCTCCAAATGGTTTTTGGTCGGTTAAGTAAATTAATAAATACTCACTTCATAAAACGTGATAAGAGTCCACGTTAGTTCCCATGCAGAGGCTCTGTCCCAACTCCAGCGCCGTTTCCCAGATCCTCTTTTGTTCAAACAATCTCCTCAGTGTTGAAGAAAACAAATGCTAGGACATGCTGCACAGACATGTAATGCTCGCTTCTTTGTGACTGTTCAGTACAGTCAGAAGCATCACTGATTACATTTCATTTACAGGATGTTTTCCCCTAGGTTCGAACACAAACCTAGGGGATGCGATATAAATAAACAATGTTCCAAATGAAGGAATCCACCATTTAACAGGAGTACAGTTACAGCCACAACCTACAACGGAATATTATCTGGTTGAATATTGGCCACATTTAATAGATTCAAAATGTGTTTGACACCGAGTTCTTCGAATACAAAATATCATTTCTTTCCATTGACTAATTCAAAGCTAAAACAACACAACCCAATTAATGACACTGAGCGGTTTGTTAGCTACCTCCATGTCTGGAAACTCAATTAGATTTTCAATGGTTTCAGTTGGCTGAATTTATCAGCCTTGCACAAATTGTTTTTACTTTTGATGACATTTAAAAGTCAAATGAGTAGCAAGAGCTTTTCAAACATTTAAAGCCACTGTTGTCGGCTACATGAGATATTTGTCCAGTTATGTGCCCGAAAACAGCTTGCATTGGCGCAGAGGAGGAAGGTTTCAAGGCCAAATGACACATGGCTGGTGATAGCTTTAAATTAGGAAGGCAGACATTTGAATGAAAGGTTACCGGTTTTTAATTGATAAATAGTCTGAGAGAATTTAAGTAGAAAACACTTTCATGACCTTCGACTACTAACTACCTTCAAGCAGCATTTGAGTTTGAACTCCAAATGCTACAGGTGGGCTGTTCAGTGGCAACCTGTGAACAAATCTGGCTGTACTGGTCTGTTCATAGTGACACAGAGTAGCAGTGTAGTTGAAAAAACATGCACACTGAGAGAAGCGAATAAATAAACATTTAAAAAGACAGACAGACAGACATGATGCTTCCCTCCCCTCTTTCAGCCCGCAGTGAAAGAATCTGATATTTGTTGCATAAGATTAAAAAATAGACTTTCTGTTCCTGTGCAAAAGTCAAGTGTCTTCTGAGCAGTTCATACTGGCCTCTCCATACGAGAAGAGAGCGACAGAGAGAGAAACATCGCCCCCATGTGGGGAGGAACGACTAGTGCAATCTGAACGAAGCGGGCTGGACGGATAATGACACAAAATACTCCTCAGGCTGTAAAGTGGAGAAAGGCAGCACTCAGCCACACATATTCAACGGATCTGTTTGTATTTGTGTGTTTTTTCCCACAGGTATGTGTTAAGGAACTTGACCAAGTGTCCCAAAAGCGAGTAAAATTGTCAGATTTAGTTTTGCGAAAACTTCATTAGAGGGAGTATGGGTGCTCTTTAAAAAAAAAAGAAGAGGATTAAGCTCAGCCCCGAGAATAAATCAAGCGCTATTTAGTCAATCTCACGAGACAAACAACTTCAAATGATGAACAAGCGGAGGGGCTATGATGGCCGATCATCCAGAATTCCTGGTGGCAATGGTTCCAAGAATCCAGAGGTGCACTTAATCCCCGCTGCAGTGTGTGTGTGTGCTACCTGCAGGAAGGTGTGTTTACTTGCAGATGGCCTCGCTCAGGATGTGCTTGGCGTCAGATCTTTGCAGGTGGAGTGTCTATTCGTACCGGACGGGCGGGGTTACTTGCAGATCGCCTCCAGGGCGTCCAGGGTGCGTTTGATGTCCCGGATCTGTGCAGCCAGGGTGTGTATGGGCTGCATGGAGCGGTCCAACTCCTCGCAGCGAGCCATCAGTGTGTACATGCCCTGTTGGAAGGAACACACAAAGCAAGCGATAAACAAGATGATGCCTTATAGACAGCACCATATGAGGATATTATTCAATGAATGAAAATGTGATGAATAAGTGTGCTCAGTTCTGCCTTTCTTTTGCTTTGAGTATACGGCTAAAATGCAACACATTGCTTCTAGAATTAAAGGTCCCATGTCATGGCCATTTCTACTGATCATAATTCCATTGTTGAGGTATACTAGAATAGATTTATATTGTGCAATTTTCCAAACTCACATTGGTTTCTCATACAGCATCTCTGTAAAGTATGTGTATTCACTCTCTGTCCTAAACGGCTTGTTGGAGCTCCTGCCCCCCCCTCCCTGTGAGCCCAGTGTGCTCTGATTGGTCGCGACGTTGCAGCAACGAATCTCCCGCTGGTCCAAACAAAGTAGGAACAGCATCGTTCTTCAGTGCCCTACGCTGTACATATCCGGCATGAATGCTGAAAGGTTTGGGAAGCATTGTTTCGTGAAAGGCTGGCAGAGGGTGTGGCCTCTGGGTAAAATGAGAAATCTCCAACGAGGCGTTTTGGGGAGGTCTTTTCTGTGTTAGAGTTTTACTCGCTACAGGGTGTACTTTGAGGGTTTTGACTCTGCAGACCGTTTACATGCATAAAAACCTTCATAACACACAAGGGGACGAGTAATAACCGGAAAAGCATGACATGGGACCTTTAAAGTAAATTATTAACAACATTATTCTAATAAAGAAGTAAGATAATGTTTTAACCCCTTTTGTAGTGAAAGTGTATTATTTTGTTCTGTTAGACCCTTTTTTGTCAATGGAGAAAACACACATACACACACAGTGTCACCTTTATGCTCATATCCACAGACTCCCCCAGGCTGTCCACTGAGTCCCTGTAGGTCTGGATGTAGCCCACACTCAGAGCCGTCATCTGGATGAACACACAGATGTACAGAGTTACATTTGTTACACAAATCCAATAGTGAGCGATGACACTGAAAAGAAGCCTAATGCATTTTATACCAACTCACATTCTGGATGGTGCCATTGAGGCTCCGCATCATCATCTCCACGCTGTGCGACACTTCCTGGGTGTGTCTCTCAAGATCCAATAGGACAGCAGGATCAATGGGGGGGATGTCTGCTGGTCTCCGTGACGAGCCCCGGCTTCGGTAAATGGGACCGGAACAGTCCGCTGGTAAGAAGAAATTACAAAATGAGGGGGCCTATTATGCTCAATTTAAGGTTTCATATTTTGATATTGTGCCTCTACTGTGAATTACAAAGCCCAGTCTGCTCTGATTGGTTAGCTGGCTGGCTCTGTTGTGATTGGTCAACCACTAATAGATGTCCCGTCCCTTAGCCTATCACATACAATGTATTGGAGAACTAGCCAATAGAAATGCGAGGGTTACATTGTGATGTCACTATGTCACGGAAGTTAACAAAGAACTACAATGGAAGCGTTTCAGGAGTGGAGGGAATTGTGGGTCTTTGCAGACCATTCACATGCACAAAAACCTTTATAACACACTACAGGAAAGAAAAACCCAAAAGAGCATGATAAAAATGACAAGAAAACTAGGAAAATAGATCAAATAAAAACACACACACATAAAGTCAAAAGAAGCCGATTAATTATTCCTATTTACTGAAACAGCTGCTCTTACAAACAAAACTGCCAAAACAGAATAAAACAAATCATGGCACTGAATTAAAAGAACAGATAGAAGTGTACCAAAGGAGGAAGAAGCAGGTTTCAGTCTCTGAAAGCGATCCCTGTCAGGCTGCAGCAGCACCTCCATTATAAATGTCTCCAGTCCAAACACAGTCTGAGTCATGCCTCCTAATTGAATCAGCAGGTAGAGGGAATGAGCTGCCACAGAGGGCGTATTGACTGTGTCGCTCTGTTTAAATTGAGTGGCCAGTTAATCTGACCCTCCAATTTTTCCTCTGAGTGAAGGGCAGCGGTTCAGTGTCTTTCTCCAGGAAAATGTGACGGGACAGATGGCTGCCAATAGACCTGCTGGACTCACAGACAACCTGCTGATTTTATAGACGTGATTTAATCTCTGACGTTGCTGTGAATGTGTGACCTTTTCGAAAACCATCTCTGTTTAAGTTCCTCTGGGCCTCTGCTGCTCGTTAAAAAACAGACTGAGGCTAATTTAATCCACCAGGAACAAGTAGGAAGAAGGAGAGAGCAAGGGCAAAGAGAGTTCATCACAATTTAATTATTCATCTAAAAATGTCACAGAGAGAGGAATGATAACACTTATTGGGATTTCATTCAATAACCTGAGATTTCCTTGTTCAAGCAAAGGTTTCTCCTTCAAAGAAATCCCTTTTTATGTCCTTCAAATTGTATAACACTAGAGGTCAAAGAGCCACTTTAAAATAATATAATGATGTAGTCTACTTAAACAGTGTCTCTCAACCCAGCCTTTGCTGAATGGGTCGCAAAACTAAAACCTGTAGAACAAAAGAGAGACACTAATGGCGCATTTCCACTACAGCGCGGAGCTCGCTTTAAGCGTGCCGTGCCGTGCCCGGCCCGGCCCGTTTTTGGTTGCGTTTCCACTTGGTGTAGTTCCGGCTAGCGGGTACTATTTCACAGTTTTTCTGGCCCCATAAAATCGAGGTTCTTTCTGGGCCAACAACCAGGCTGAGTCGGGCTGAGTATGCTAAACTAGAGAGAGAGAATCGCTGGCAAGGGGGCTACAACTACAACAAGATGAACATATTTGACCGTGATTTAATTGTAATACACGTTTCAAAATGATGCCGAAGTAACAACATACTGATACCGGTTAGTAAAAACCATGAATTAATGCTTTGTCAAGTCTGCAGGAGAAAAACCTTCTAAAATGCGTGTTTTCTAAATGGAGATTGGCTAAGCTAACGCAGTATATGCTCCGACCGTCCACACTCACAACAACGGCCTATACAGACATAAATAAAGCAGCGACTGTATTCACCATGACACAGGCAGTCTGTGGTTTGTACTTGTTTAACTTTTGTCTAGTTTCTGAACAGATATGAGGAGCTGTGAGCTCTGAGTGCTAACAGCTAACGGCTGTGTTGTTTTTCTGGGGTTCTCATTGAAGATGACGTCACGGCTCCGCCTACACTGCGTTACTATAGTTACTGCCCCAGTTCCTAAACTGTAATGGAAACGCAGCATAAAGTGAGTCAGTCCTAACAAGGCCTAACGAGGCCTAGCCATACCGAGCGAGGCCCTGTAGTGGAAATGCGCCAGACTTTTTCAGTATAAATATGGCACCAGATAATCTATCCGATTGATATTAAACAAGTCGCAAACATTTTGATGCTTTTTTTGCAACTTCCATTCAATTGTGTTTGCACTGTTACCACAAAACCACATTTCATGTAATCATTCAAGTTTACGGTCCAACCAACAAGCTTTTGACCGTTATAAAGATGCTAGTTGCTGCACTGATCTTCAAACAAAGCTATGGTGAGTTCACAGTGGACTTCTTCATGGACTCCATATATCTCAGTCATACATCAGTATCTCACTTGCCTCCTTAAAGTCATTCAGATGATGAATGTCAGCATCACTTTGACAGACACAGCAATTCATTCGGTAAGATAGCGCATCGATTCTCTGTTACTGTTTTTGGGTAAGACATGACCAAAGTTATAAATAAATGATGAAGAGTGGCTGTGTAATCCTCTGCAGGGAAAAACTGTCTGTGTATCTGACTGCTGTTTCAGCCCCACTGCCTCTCCAAATGCTATTAACCTGCTGAAAAACATTTCTGAAACCTCAATTTGTTCATCTGTTAGACCCTCCTGAAAAACACAGTAATGAATCAACGTACATAGAGGCAACACGCATATCATCTATGTAAATCACTATATATATATATATACACACTGCACGAACACGCGTTCTTAGCACAAATGCAAAACAAGCACAAACTGTAACAGTACATGAAATACACTCACATTATTACACTTGTATGCATACCTACTTCTCTTCACACACTTACAGGAGTTCTAAATCCTTTCCATATAAGGATTATTCATTTAAATAAAATGTATAGATTATTGAGTGAGATGTATTTTAAATTGGTTATGAATTACAATAATTAAAAGAAGAAAATTCACTTTATTTGTTGAAATAAAACCGTTTAAGGTTCTGCCTCAGCTTCATACTCACAGTCGCTGCAGTCCAGACTGGGCTTGGAGCTCATCTTGATTTTCTGCTCCAGGTTCTTGCAGATGTAGTGAGTCAGATCCCCCTCCTGGTGGACCGTCCCCTCTAGCTCCAGAGCCGAGGAGATGGTGGCCCGTCTGCCCTCTGACTGGCCCCCTCTGCCCCCTCCCCGGGCCCCCAAACCACCTGAGGAGAAAACGCAAACAACGGATGGATACAATTGTAAAAATGTTCCAGAAATGACTGATTTCCAAATGTTTATGTTTATTTACATACACTAAAGGGATGAGGAATGAGCCACACTGCAATACACACAACATCAAATCTACCTCCACACGATTGGCTGATTTCATCCAGGCTCTTGCTGTCCTGCATCCCCCGGACGTTGCGTACCCAGACCTGGGCCATGACGTGGGGGGGGCAGGGGAGGTCGTCTGAGGGAAGAAGAGGAGGCGGGGTGGAGGAAGAGGACGAGGTGCTGGGACCAGGGGCGGAGGAGGAGTAGTGTCGGGAAGGCTGAAAAGCAGGAGAGGAAGTAAAGAGGAACGGTTACATTTCTGCTTATTCAATGATGCTGACAGATCATTATGAAACCAGCTTTAAAGCTTCACATCTCTTCTCTATGATCAGTTTATTGTCTCATCCTCAAGCGTTAGAGTTATGATCCACTCTTCTTTAAAGCCAACAGTTAATTCCTAAAGGCTCAAAAGCATTTACTTACATTGACCTTTGTTCAGGATGAGTTCATTACATCTCATGACCGGTATTATCTCTTAAATCCATCTGCTCCTGCTGGTACATATAATCTGCTAAAGGACAATATAATCACCTCTACCCTTGTTCTCCCTCCTGCACGCTGATGAATCCACTTTTTTTCATTCTTCTCATCTTCCTCTTCATCCTGTTTCTCCTTCTCTCCATCTTCCTCCTCGTCTCTGACGTGGCAGGGGCCTTCTCGGGGAGGTAACTCTTTGAAGTGTGCTCGCTGTGCAGGTTCCCACAGCAGAGCTGCACCAGGAGGCCCTACAGTGTTAGAGGCCTCATGAATATCTGTGTCTTTGGAGCCAGATTCTGAGTCTCCTGTGCACGTGGCAGCAGGGAGGGAGGCGTCCGGCTCGTCAGAAGAGCGTAGCGATAAACTAGATGTTCTACCATTATTCAATGTCTCTGTGTCCAAGCAGCCTTTGCCATCGTAAACTTTGTTCTCCACTTCTACGTGGTTGTCAGTGTCCTCTGATCCCTCTCCAGGACAGGGCACTCTGCTGCCCCCGCATTTCACCGAGGTCGGATCGTGAGGGCCGTTTTCTGAAGAGATGGGGGCCACATCCCCATTAGCTGTTTCTGGCACGTCTGTGCCAATCAAAGGGGAGAGACTCATCCCTCCGCCTGGTGGAGGAGGGATAGAGACCGTTAGACATTATTAAATCGATATTGAATCCATTATCCAATTAGGGTGGAGTTACCATACTTCTATGAACCACTGCTTAATAGGGCCGCTGGGTATTATAGTTATAAAGGACCACTGCTAATGTGGTATCTGAGATTTACTACTCATACTCATTTTAACCCGTTCTCTGTTACTGGATCAGGGATAGAATAAAGGAAACATTATAGTCTGCTGCAAGAGAAGTTTATTAACACAACTTTTATATTCTTAAAAAGGAAGTGTTGGGAAACACTGCTGCGGTTTATGAATTGGCATGCCTCTGGTTTATCATTAAGAAAATACATGAAATCAAATTGGTTTTAAGTCGACTATACTCCATTTTAGAGCAGAGAAAAAACGTGACCCTTGCACAATGTAATTGCTCCTGAATTTCCCCCTGACACCGTTTTAGAAAGCTGAACCCGTTTAAGGGTTGGTGTTGAATATCTACTGGACATTGTGGTACTCATTGCTGGGGTGTGGCAGTTGTTTGTATTGTTTATGTTTATTGTTCCATCAGTGTTTATGATGCCCTGTTGGCTAGATTACATTTGAAAAAGAGATTCTACTTTTATTTAGCTAAAGTAAAGGATATATCTGCATAAACCTTATCATTGTGTTCCATTGTATCCTATTAATGTCATTGTGGTATACACTATTGAACCACAACAGTAGCTGTTGTATGGAGAGGTTTATGGATTACAGTTACTTTCGGTTAGGTCTGAAATGACGTAATAAGGTTGCTTAGCTTAGCATTAGCTTGGACTCAAACTTACTTGGTGTTTACAGTAGCTTGCATTGCATTTTCAAGCCTTTAGTAAACAACGCCCCTGGAGGTTGAGCAAAAGCAAGTGGGCCAAGACTACAGTGCGAAACAAACAAACAGGAACAAAGAAGAGAAGAAGACATAAAGAGCTGCCTGCCAGCGTTGAGGAAGTTGATGTGCTGCTGTCATTAGCCGCCTAGCTAGCTCCCTGTTAACGTTAATGTTGTTGGATGATGTTAGCGCAGCACGGCTAATGTTAGCTGTCCAGGCCTTTAAACCACAATGCTTTGACAGCACGTCTTCTATTTTCGCACACTCTTACACGACAACACGAACCTTTTTGTAAACAACGCTACGTATCTATTAATAAGGTTATACAGTAGTTGCAGAGAACATCATTTAATAAAGAAAACACTCACCAGTGTAGTTCCTGTTCCGAAAAATGTAAGCAACAACCGAGTCCGACCAGCAAATCCCTCCCCACGAATCTGAAGGGAACAGTTCCGCCTTGCAAAAATAAAAGCGTTTGATGCAAAATAATAGCAATCTTCTTGTTTGCATGTACATTTCTATTGACATAGCAGTATGTAAATCAGAACTACATTTTTCCAGCGCAGGTCTGGTTTGTGCTAAGCAACACTAACTCTCTCTTGCTTTGGCTATGTGAGCTTATCTCTATCCACACCATGAAGGTTCATCCTGCATGTAACTCTGTTCTCCCACAGATGGAGACAAACACCACTGTACCTCAGAAAACATCCTTCCAAAGGATACAAGTTGAATTTTGGTTATTTCATATAATAAATGTAAAGAAGCAGTTCCTGCTAATGGTCTGACTCTGACCACTTGGTGAGGGCAGTAAGAAGGAAAACCATTGTTTTTTTGAAGATACTTATAGGATATATCAAACTTTGAGTGAAAGCTGTATCTCTTGTTATACCTTTTACAGATCCTGTTTTGATTGTGTCTTAATGTAATTTTAAGTTGCTCCAACAGCCACTTTGCAATTAAATATGTGATCCTCTCTTCAAAAAAAGCTGGAGGGCAAAGTGTTAATTGCATGCTGTTTATAGTAACCGTCTTTCAGACAAAGTCTGCTCAATTTGTAAGCTCTAAGAAGGTATGATGACCATTCAAGACTTACATTCTACAATGACAACATTTAAATGTAAAGAAAAGCTGGGAATTAATAGAATCCCGAATAGACTTAAATATATAAATACAAATTATAAATGTATAAATATAAATTAATAGAGTTAACAACATGATACTTCTTTGAAGATTTTCCCAGAATTTTTCATTTTGGAATATGATTGTTATGTATTTAAACATAAAATCACTTTTTGCGACATTATGCTCAAAGTATGGTCTTACAAATAGTCTTCCTATCAATACCAGTCCTTATTAAAGTCTGTTTCCTGTCTACAAAAGACAATCAGGATAAATGTGCGTGATTGAATTAGAGGAAAAACTGCTGTTCTTCCTATGTCTCATAAACCATTGATGAATTAAAGAAACGTGCTTGAAATGATTTGAATTGATGGTTAACAGACTGGATAAGGGGTTTAAATAATGAGAAGGTCCTGGCTCTGCTTGGCTTTTCCTCCAAACTGGAAGCTGGGCAGCCTCTGTGGTTTTGAAACCTTTAAATTGGACAGAAATGACAAACACTGCTGCTGCAGAGGAGAGAGGATTCAAAAACCACACTGTTACCACATCTAAGGATCTCGTAACATTTCTAATCTAGCCCATCCATGCAGGCCAGCTGCTCCCTCTCTCTGTGGTGATTTGGCTTTTTTATCTCATTTGTTCCTTCTGCTTTTGTGCCAGACATCAAAGTGAGAGATATTTACCTAAAGGCAATTAGACCTTTGAAATAAGCCAATGATTTCCAGAGAATAGCACATTTAAAAATCACTACGACCTTCACCACATTTTAGTTTCCATTGTGATGAGAATACTGGCAGAGGGAAGCGTTTTTAACAATAAAGTAACCGCCACCAGAAAGGCACCATTTAGGAAAATGAGGCATGCAAAGCAAAGTGAAAGCATGTGCCTTCAAACAGATGTGGGGTTTCCATAATAAAAGCTGCAGACTGCATGCTGCACTTTATTAACCGAAATAACAGTGAGGGTCCATAAATCATATTCCTATTAATCACAAATATGAATTGCATACCCGTTCAGGAGCAGTTTGGAGACAGTTTATCCTTCCATCCACAAAAATGGCTTTCTTGTGCTACTCACCAGCTCATAAAACCAGGAAGTATTCATGTTATATCAGCCATTTAGGTATATATTATTAATAAAAGGCCCCACACTTTAAACATCATTATTTTTGTTTAAATACCATAGATCAGTTTGACCTAAAGTGCCGTGTATCCGTGGTAAACACATATAACTTTTAATGGAACAAAGGCATGAAAATGTTCTTTGTGTAAGCAACAGAAGGTTACCACAGGTATTTCCAAATTCAAGACCATCTTCAGTATTTTTTTTTTGGGGTATTGATGTCCAGTAAGGCTTGTGGTAGGAAAAAAAGGTTTAGCTTTGAATTGGAGCTTCAAGGACATTTAGAAAGGTTGTTTTTGCTATTGTATAAGAAAATGCAATCATCTAGAATGCTCAACCGGAAGATCCAGTGGTTTCAAGTCAGGGGGAAGGACATCATCAAATACAGAAGTCTGTGGAAGTGTGTGCATACTCAGAAACCGTGAAGTCCTTAAAAAACGTTGAGGCATTTGGCTGTAAAATTCAATCTCAAGCTTGAGCAGACAGTTTTTATCCAGCATGAGAGCATCACTGAAAGGGATACGGTGGTGAAGTGCACGAACCCCATCAAATGAGTCACTTTGTGGCAAACTCCAAAAGCAGCTCTTCCTGACTGATTGTTTCCTACGCCGATTTTATTTGATGCACATTCCAACCATGCTGTATGTTTTTTATTGAATCCTTTGGAGAGAACAGAACATTCCAAAACATATGAATCCATTCTGAGTCACCACTTCAGTACATTACATCACACTTCATTTAACAGATTTTATACAAAGTGACTTGCAATAAGTGCAATCAACTTTAATAATACAAACTCAGCAAGAAACAGCTAGTAACCTGAACGCTCATTTACTTCAAATAAGCCAAATAATTGTACAGTAAGTGCTGGTGCATTACTTTAAATGAGCTGAACCTTTTTGGTAATAATGTGTGGAGAAGATAGAGATAAGGTTTTGGAGGTTGGAGAATGAATATTGAATTTTCAGATTGAAAGAAAGTGCTTTAAGCTGCAAGAAGAGAAAGAGCAGAAAACAGATCAATAGGTGAGAAGGTCATCAGGGTATTTTGATTACTGCCATTTCCTTTCAGCTGCCGGTTGGGTCTGGCAAAAAGAGTCCAAAGAGTGCCTCAAAACCAGTAACAAGCTGTCTTTAGGTCAACTCATTGAGTGCACTGGGACCTGTCTTACCTGCTTTACACCACTGCTGGTTCTCCATGATAACTGAGCTTGTGTCAGGTGTTACAGCCATGCTAGCAACTTTGTGAGACTGCGCTATGCAAAGAAGTGCTTTCATCTAAATGCTAATGCTAACACTGACAATGCAAAAATTCTGTTGAGAAGTGACGTTTGCCATCTCAGTTTAGTGTGTTGGCATGCTAACATGTGTTAACTAGCGCTTAACACAAACAAAGTAGAGACAAAGTACAGATGATAATGATAGGTCAGAGGCCTGAATAAAAAGTCAGATGATCACCAATGTCATCAGGATTTATCCTCTGGTGACCTTAAATATCTGTACCAAATGTTATGGAAATTCCATCCAGTATGTGTTAAAATATTTTGATCTAAACCAAAGTGGTCGACCGACCGACCATCACCGCCATTCCTCGAGTCAAGAAACATGTAGAGGCTCTTAAGGCAACCATTACAGTGCTGATACTGTGGTCAGGTTGGTAAAGAGAAGCCAAAATGACCTCTCAGTACACATACTGTAATAGCTTCATTGTTTCCGTCCGAATGTAAACATGTGAAAAGATTAACTGTGATTGGGCAGTGATTAGAACAAGTTTCCACTGCTCACATGCCAAAACAAAAATAAGTTAAAAAGTCAATGTATTTATTGAAATGGTGTCTAGTTTGCAAGGCTAAGGGTATTCTTTTGCTACAGCACAGTTATTAAGGTATCCTTCCTCTTTGTCATACTTGTAGGATGCAGTAGAACAAATGTCTCATTCCAAACAAAATACCACAGTGCAATGCACTCATTTATTTTAATAAAAGGTTTTCTGTGTTGCTGTGATATCCTGTTTCTCAGACTTAAACACTATCATACCAATAGTTTCCTTCCTCGCAAGGTTTTACTCAGAAAGTGAAGCTCAACAGTAAAATAAATGTAAAGCCACAGTCACACATAGTTGAGCCTGTCAAGTAAGAAAGTATAATTGATGAGATTATAAACAACCAGCAGCAAACAATGGAGTATACTGCGGCTGACCCACAAGGGTTAGGAAACAGCAGACCAACTAAAGTGAAGGTTTGCTTGATTGGAACGCATCTTTTACGCAGAAGATTACTCAACATGAGCATTAAATATTGTATGTGGTCACTTTGGCAGGGTTGGACGGTGGTTTGGTGTATGGTATGTTACTGTGTTGGAGTGAAGGTCAGCATGCCTTAGAAATAACATAGCTGGAATTAAATATATTCCCGCAAATAACTGTACACTGATTTATGTCAAAACCCGTTTGTGCATCTTAACGTTATATGAGCTGGTCTACGATGCTGAAAGAAATGTAAAAATGTAAAAAAAAGATTGTGCAGGCCGCTGTGTCTGTAAATGCTTTGGCTAAACTTGGTGTATGACTGTGTTGTGATTGTGTTTTAACATGGTCTGTAACTGTGCTGTAACCATTCTTGGGCCAGGACTCTCTTGAAAATTTGATTTTTAATCTCAATGAGACCTATCCTGGTTAAATAAAGGTAAAATAAAAATAACATTTTTGAAAAAACTGGAATTTACTCTGAGGCCCCCCTTTGTGCAGGCTGGGAGAAGGTTTACATTATCTGGGATAAATGGTTTAATCTTCACTGAACTTTGGCATCAATTAAGAGAAAAAAGCGTTGCCTGTAAGGCCACAACATAACTGCAACAACAGATGTTAAGTTTGTAAAAAACAAGAAAAACTGAAAAATCATAAAACTAATGACTAATTAAAAAGGAATATTGTTGGTATTTTTAGGAAGAACTTAACCCTTGTGTTGTGTTCGAAAGCTGTTACCGTTCATGGTGTTCGCGGGTCAATTTTGACCCATGATTTATATCAGTCCAAAACACTACAAAATAATGACTATCATCCAATATTGTTTTAACTACATCATAACTAACTTATTATGCATTCGTAACCGTACAATCCTGTTGTTATTTTATTTTATGGCCCCCAAAAACATTACACCACATATTTAAGTAAAGCATGTGATTCAATTCACTCATTATATTTCCTATAGTGAAGACAGTGGATCATTACGTTATCTGACTATAATAGACTAATATTAGAATAAAATCTCCCCAAAAAAAGTTTTAAATTATTGTTACAGTGGATGAAGGGGGTGGGGCTGGGGTGTCTAAAGTCAAAGATTAATCTTGATTGGGCCAAATTTGACCCCGAGTCACCCAAAACAATTCTGCTGGGTCATCCCAGACCTGAACACCAAATTATACACTTTTTTTTAGAGACCTTCAGACTTGGCTAAAATTGTCCAAATCAGTGTTGTAGTGTTTATATAGCTGTTGTGGAGGATATCATGAAGCCTTGTTCCGTAAAAAAAAAACGGTTACAATTATATAATTGTAACTTGAAACGGGTCACGGGATAAGGGACATAAGGGATAAAAGCAGAATCAACAATAAATTAATACGTGCTTCACTTGTCCATCCACTGCATGCGCGTCTTTCTGTTTAGTTCAGTATCTGTATATTATTGGCACAATAAACCACAACCCACAAACATACTCACTTGAAAGCAGACCTTTATACATATTTACAAAAAGAAAAAGACTCGCATGATGAGAGGATATCAGTTTAAGACAGTTTCATTCCTGCAAAGCAGTCGTTATGGAAAATCACACAAGAGAAATATTGACACAGAGATGTAATTACAGGAAAACAGAGTGAAACACAAGAGGCCGTTGTAATGAAAGAGGAGCAGCTCTGCACTTACGTCTTAAATGTTTAAAATGGTGCGCAATAAAAATGGTTCTTAGGACTTCTGCCTCCTACTCGTGTGCTGTTTGGATCTGACACAAATAAAGACTTACACACACATTACACACTCATACTCACACTATATCCTCAGGGTGAACACCATACACGCTTTTTCCTTTTCCTTTTTTTAGGTGGTTGGATTTGATGCTTGCTTGTCAACATTTTTGACCAGCCTGTATTTTGTATTTGCCTAGCCTAGCTTACACCATTAGCTTTTGTAATGTAATGACCAAAACAATTTGTTTAACTCTCTTCATGAAAAGTTAAACAGTCCTGCAGGTTTATGACGATTTTTAAACATTTTTTTCCGACAAGGTAGCTGCACTTCCTGTTTTTAATCTTTTTGCTAAGCTAAACAACTTCTGCGGTAGCTTTACGATGAAATAAGAATTGTATTAATGTACTCAGCTAAGACTTAACTAGAAAAGAAAAAAAACACATGTTACAATTCTAACTATTCTTTGTAGATAGATTGGTATTTTTTAACTGAATTGGATGATAGCCCCAACATTTATTTTGTTAGCATTAGCGACAGCTTCCATGAGGGAATATGCTAATAGCTAAAGGCTTGGAGTCATTGGATATGTTGAATTGGATGCTAACAATGTAACTGCCATTTTTATGTTGGTTACAAAGTGTTTACATTTTATTACAATTATGGATAGTTATTTTTCTTGTACAGAAAACAGCAATATCATGTTTACAGAAAGGCCTCAATGAAGAACCTCATTGAGATCTAGGATGCTAATGGATAGCAGAAGCTAAGAAAGAAAAGCTAAACTTTCTCTGTCTTGACATTTATTTTGTTGTTAACATTTATCAGCCCAGTTAGTAGCCTATGTCAATGGCTACGACTCATAACAATGTTTACTTTTCATAACCTACATTTCAGATTTGCCAGCTGTCTGAGAACACACTCAATCCTGATTTTACTTGGTCATACTGCCAGCTTCACACTCACACCCTTTCATTTTGAGGCGTGTCTGCACCTGACACTTTTAACATTTAACATAAACTCTCTCTTTCTTTACTCAAACACACATTCAGAAGTAGCTCAGCGCTGGTTGGCTCTTTCATGTGGCCAAAGCCAAGAAAGCCAAGGAGCCCAGCCCATGTTAATTCTCTGCTCTAAGTCGGTCTGGTTTATTTTTCTTACAGCATCAAAAGTGTCTCCGATCCATTGCTGAGATCCCTGTTTGGCAGATGTACTGACTGGCCCCTGGCCCTGCATTTCAGCTCCACTCACTCTGATCCTACTCTGACAAACACACACAGATCTGCGTGTGGCGCAGTGGATAGAGCCTTGGTGTTGGGATCAGGGGGTCACAGGTTCAAACCCCACTGCAGTCAGCATGTCGTTGTGTCCCTGGGCAAGACACTTCACCCCAAATTGCTCCTGTGGGGATTGTCCACTGTATTGAGTATGTAAGTCGCTTTGGATAAAAGCGTCTAACAAGTGACATGTAATGTAATCTAATCTATACTTTACAACAGCTGTGTCAAACTCAATTTCATCGCAGGCCACATTAGCATTATGGTTGCACTCAAAGGGCCGGTTGTAACTTTAAGACTATATAACAATACATACATAAATATTTAATATATATAAACGTATGTATTATATTACAATATTCCCTCTGCATTGGATTATTATGGGATAGGGTAATAACTTAATAATTAACTACGTCTGAAAGCAGAAGTCTAGGGCAAATAATTGGAAGTCTCTTCAGTGAGAATGTCACAAAATGATTTTTTTTAAAAAGCCAAATTCTGGAAAAAATGTGAAAATGTAAAAATATGTGAAATTTTGAAGCAAAAAAGTCGAATTCTGAGAAAGAAAAGTCAAATTCTGAACAACATTCATATTTGAGATGCATTGTGGGACATGTAGTTTATGGGCAACGTGCTTCTGTAAATCGGCATGTAACCGTATAATAAACGTATTATATTCTTTCACATTAAATGAAGTCGCGGGCCGGATTTGGCCCCCGGGCCTTGAGTTTGACACCCCTGCTTTACAAAAACACACACACATATGCAGTGCAAAGGGTTCAGGATCCTGCAGGACCCAGCATGGGTAATATTTAATCTAATATGTGCAGAATTACGTGCATGACTTCATCGTTGTTGGGTGAAATTACATATATGGAGATATGGGAGGCTGTAATTGTTGGACTAAACCAGGCATGGATAGTCTTCCAGTGAAGTAAGTTTTAATTAAATTAGTTGTCTTGCTTTCTCCATGTCCCTCTATTCTTACTGTTTATTCAAAATCTGAGTTCTGAAGTTTCAGCATTTGGTTTCTATTCGTTGTTCTGAGGAACTGTCAGAGAAACAGGAAGACAAAGCATCACATTTGGAAAGAGAATTGTAGTTCCTGCTGCTTTTTAAATGCTTGCCTTATGGGACGGTTAAAAAACATAAAATAACCGTGGTTGCAGGCAGGCACGATCTGAATTTCCACAGGTGGGATCGGGAAGGTGCGTCAAGAGAAACAGATGGTAACATTTGGAGATTTTACAAAACAAAAGAATACTGTGCAGACTTCAATGTGTGGGCATACAAACAAACAGTACATACATACAAAGACAAACCAACACAAATGTTAAATTAGCAGCCTGTTTGTGAGACATCATGGCTGAATTGGCAAAAAATGACCACAACATATCTGACCTCACAACTTCTGAAACAAGCTGTTTAATTCCAGACTAAACAAATAAATACCAATAAGAAGAAAGTTAAATAGAGGTGGAACGCTTTGTGTTGGTTTAACATTTAAACATTTAGAGAAAATCACAATTTACTGCCTTGGAAAGTCACTGTAGTCGTCTAAATCCCTCACGTCAGAGTCCACTTGACGCCAGTCCTGTTCAGCACTTTCTCAGGTTCCACTTTGTATAATAAAGGCGTCTTTATTAAACATCGGGCCTGCTTCATAATTTACAACCAAATGTCATTACCAGCTGCAGCTACAGGACCAGCGGTATATTACTCCACTTTTTTAATTTGGCTGGAACCCACACAAAGTCACCAACGGCCCATCTTAGGTCCAAAGCCATGGGTTGTAAAACATGCATTTTCTGTACAAAGTCTATTGGCATTTCAGTTCACACCTCAATCCTCAATGGAAACATCTTTTTAAAAGCATCTCAATATTTTACTCAGACATGTTCAAAGTTCAGCAAAAACAGATTCTTTTTAAATAGATACAGAGCCTCTAGAGGTTTTCAAGTGTTAGAAATATCATTTAAAATACTACCAATTAAAATATCCATGCCTTTTGCCAAATAACCCTTGTTATGTTAATCTAAAAGCCAGATTTCAAGAAACTTAAATAGCAAATATTAAAATGTGTACATTGGTGTGCAGATGTTACTTTTGTCCTACAATAAACATGTTTTCTAAATCTGTACACTGTACTCATGTGGGAGAGCAGGGAAACTAAACCAACACCCAGAATAGGATTTTCTCTGATGTTATAAAACACACCAGATCTACTAGGTCCTTATTTTCTGTTCACTTTTTCCCACACCTTTATTCAGCTGCGTGGCCGTGCCATAAATGAACACTACCAGCCAACATTTGTGAAGCTTTCAGGAGAACGGAATGGAAACATCTCCTGTCGCGAGTGTGTAAAAGAAGATGTGTAACCTCATCAAAGCTGTCGCCCTGCTTCTCTCTGCCCTCATCTTTGTGGTCACACTCCGTCATCTTGTGTCAGACCCCACCTATCTGAAGAAACAACTCTCTCTGTACTGTAGGTGAATTGTTGGTATACAGTATACTGTATCATTTTGGGTAAAGAAATGCATAATCAGTGCTATTTACCTTCTTAAAGGCCTTTAAACAAAATATCACTGCTGATTATTTCCCCAAAAATACCTTTAAACTTATTTTGACAGTGAACAATAGATTACTTTTTGTCCCCATGTTTTCACTTTCCAACAACAAAGCTAGACAATCAAAATGTTTTGAGAACACCAAGGATGGAGTGTCCTTGAAACGTGAACGCCACACATAGCAAAGTTTGTAAAATGCTGATTGCAACTTTCTAAAGAATTTTGCATGTTCCTGTGCGATGGTTTTCAAAGTCGCTCAAATTGAATGGAAACCAGTGTCTGCCGGGAAGGTACGAAATCAATCTTAAAAGACATCTGTTATCTGCTATGGAGGATAATTGGCAGAGTCTATATGACTTATAATCAAACATGCAGAGCCACCGGTATGGTGCTTTAAGGCAGCAATCATTTCAGAAGGGTTGGATGTTTTTTCAAATGTGGAATATCTACGTTTGGATTTTTTTTTCTCTGTAGAGGCTCCAAATCCAAAATCCCATGTCCTTGTCACGACAGGTAAACTGAGACATGTCGCTCATCCTTCATTCTACACGCTACGCAGCCTAAGGGTTTCTACTTTTTCCTTTTTATTCACAAGTCCTTTGTCCAAGTGTCTCTGTTGTTCTCCCCCTCCTGTACATACTTCAGTCAGACAGTTTGTCACTATAATGAAAGGATGCCTTTTTTGTTTGTAGATAAGTGCATGCGCATGTCATAGTCTCTGTATGTACAGTGTGTGTGTCTCAGTGTATAAGTTAAGTGTGTGTACGTGTGTGGACGTTTATGTGTGTGTTTTTTTAAGTCACTTAAATCCGCCCTCCTGTTCCGCTACACATTCAAGCGCTCCTCGGTGCCCTCTGCTGCGGCTTGCTCCTGCTCTTCCTCCCCGCTGCTCTTCCTCCCCCTCCACCTCCTCTTCCTCCCCCGTGCTTGTGCCTCTCCCCCTTCTCTTTCTCCTTCTTCTGCTCCACCTTGATTTCAGTGTAGTGACGGTGGTTGCGTGGGGGGCGGTATCCTAGCGCCTTGCAGTGCTGGCCGATGTTTCCGGGGTGAACCAGCGCCATCACGTCTTCGTACCAGTGCTGGCTCCCCGTGCTCTGATAGGACGAGGCGGACCAGGAAGCGAGGACGCGATTAGCCGAGGGGCTCCAGACGGCGAGGCGCACGGTGACGGCGGTCCAGTGGTAGCCGTGCTCCTCCACCTGGCAGTGGTAGACGCCGCCGTGAGTCAGCTCAGCTCGACGAATCAGGACGCCCCGTTCAATTACCACCAGCTGGTCACCTGTTACCACCTGGGGGGAGAGACAGAGAGCATTTGAAAAAGAAAAAAGGCTGCAACCTGCGTTTTTTATTCAAATACAGTACATGGGTGGTGTAGGTATTTGAGAGTATCTTTAAGTGTATCTTGTCATATTCTCATTGTATATTCTTTTTTGTATATTTATATTTTTTAACATATTCATTTTACTTTTATAATAGTTTTTAAACTAGTTCCATAACATTACATTATTACATGTCATAGCCTGACACTTTTATCCTAATGGACACTATACACTTCAATACCGTAGACATGCCTACATGTGCCATTATACACCAAAGTAAATTATAGTATATGTAAACTTAATTGACATTAAATCTGATTCAGATTTTCATATTGATATTTGATATTGTCCAGTACAAAAGAATAATGGTAAGGCATGTGTGTGTGTGTGTACCTGGTTAAGTTCGGGGCTGTTCTCCCCTGCCTGTTTGTACCAGGTAACAGCAGCGTGTCTGGATCGGGGGAGACACTCCAGATAAGTGCTGTTGCCCTCAGCAACCATCATTATCCTCTGCTCCGCCTCCACCTGCAGCCCGGCTGAGTGACAGCAAAGGACAGATGTGACAGGTTAGAGATCTGCTTTATCTTCCCTGTTAATTCAGTTTGCTTTCCTTCTTGTTGCAGAAAAACATTATTTTGTCAATTTATCACTGATCCTTTTGTGGCTTATTCACAAAATGCATGTTCTTTGCAGGTTTTGCTCATTGTGAAGCTTATTTTAATTCTAAGGAAGGAGGGTCTCGTATGTTATGTAGAATGTAAAGCGCATCAGGTTTTCAATCACATAACTGTTACTTTTGGTTATATAAATAAAATGACTCGAATCACCTAAATGTATCTGTAGCTGAGGCATTATTAGAGATCAAGTATCACAGTCAATGCTTGCCAAAGGTTACACAACAGTGATTGTATTTGTTAGCATTTGTAACTGAACAAACACTTTAGAGTGAGTTAGTTCCTCACCTCCCTGTCTGACACACTGCGTGAGGGGATCCTCTTCCTCCCCTAAGTGACGAGCATTCCTTCTGTCGAGAGAAACACATCAAATGACAGTAAACAAAGAGTTACAGCCTGATAGTTGATCTTGACGCTTCAATGTTAATACACCCTGTAAGGACAAAGTGTTGGACTTGGACTTACACTGACATTAGTAAGAAGGTTTAATTCACTTGGGAGCATCAATTTGCTCAGCTTGGAAGTGGAAGTGTTGGCTAATAAGTAATAATGGTGGCACTAGAGGAAAGGGCGTCATCATCAAAATATTATCATTGGGAACTTTCATGGAAATATATCCAACTGTCATACTTGGAAATGGAAAAGTGTTGGTCAAGTGGAAAAAATGCCTAACATTTAATCAGAAAGTAGTTTGGATGTGAATTTGAGTCACATTCTAGACTATCAACAAATGTGGTTTGAATTTGATTGGAAGAGATTGACTCCATGTGTTTGCTTTTTCAGACATTAGTGGGATAAAAACATATCTTACATATTCCAATAAGTGCTGTTTGGAAGGACAGATCTAACCTGCGCACGGTGGGCATGTAGGGGCTGCAGGCGTGTCCGTCCCAGGTGCAGTATGGGTCTCTGGCGAGGCAGCACTCAGCACAGGCCTGACCGTACAGCTCACACTGGTACAGGGCCAGCTGGGAAACACCCTCCCTGGAGCCCACAAACAACCACTGCTGGAGGAGGAGGAAGCGAGAGGGGGGGATGATATATAGGAATACAGATGTACGAATAAACAGTGGACATGGATGGTGGAAGAGAAGACGGAGAGAGGAAAGGGAACAAAGAAGTAGGAAAGAAGAGGAAAGTTATAAATGAAGAAGAGCCCAGAGAGAAAGAGGGCATTCAGTTTGCTCCCGTGAAACAGAGAGAAGCATTGACTATCAAGCTCAACCAGATACATCTGCACTGCGAGTCACACATCCATCTCACGCTGTAACAATGTCAGTGTGTGGCCACGGTGTGTGTGTGTGTGTGTGTGTGTGTGTGTGTGTGTGTGTGTGTGTGTGTGTGTGTGTGTGTGTGTGTGTGTGTGTGTGTGTGTGTGTGTGTGTGTGTGTGTGTGTTGAAGGCACATCATGATGCTTGCTTTTATAATCTTGACACGTGTATGCGAGTGTGAGCAAGCGTTAGACTCTTATTTCATGAAACCCAGACTATTTTAAAAATGCAAAGGGTGTTTCTGTGTGTGTGTGTGTGTGTGTGTGTGTGTGTGTGTGTGTGTGTGTGTGTGTGTGTGTGTGTGTGTGTGTGTGTGTGGCATATCGTCATTACTGCACCGACTGAGGTAGGGTAACCATAGCAACTGGTGATGAAGCTGTCCTTGGAGATACAAGGTGGAGAGATGAGTGATAAGTGTGATGTTGTGCGTGTTTGTCTGTGTGTATATGTGTGTGTGTGTGTGTGTGTGTGTGTGTTTGTGTGTGTGTGTGTGTGTGTGATGTAGTTTGGAAGTTTTAAAGTTTCTGTCTCTCTCAAATCTGTTACCTTTTTCTTTGAGAGTGTCATGGCTGTCACGGGTGATTTGTGCTGTGAGGAAAAGACAAAGAAAATTGAGTTTAAATTGAGACAAAGACAGAAATACACTGGCTCGAAGAAACAGACAAACAGAAAGACAGACACACAGAGATCAATGTCAACTAAAATATTGAATTTGTTTCTATGGAAAAATAAGGAATTTGTGTGTTTGGGTGCGCCTGCAAACCACAATAATGTTTAACAGTCTTAAATTATTTACAGAACTGATCTCATCGTCTGGTTATCATCCATTTCCCTTTATAAGGGCTTAACAAAGCACAAGCTTCACAGTGAAGAGCATTAAAAAGAACCTCAGACCTCACTTAGACAAATACATCTCGACCACATCAGTGGAGAGTGAAAACAGAGCCTTGATTTGAGCCTCCGGTGGACATAATATTGAGCAGAACTGTGAATATTGTGAACTGTGGTTACAGGAATGATAATCTACTATAGTCTGACAAGATAACTATGTGCAAAACACGGTTGTTTTATGTAAAATGTGTTACAGTCTTGGTGCAGTTACTTTTTAGATAAAAGCTTTTACTTAATTTCCTGTTTAATGGTATATATGGGTGAAGATTTAGGTCTGATAAACATAACAAAAAAGATTATTTCTTCATAAATCATGCATGCTTTACTATATGTCAGATAATTTGCAACGTAAGCATTGATGTCAAAGTGCTTCAGACTGTTTAAGCTACTGGTTTCCATTCATATGCATATCATATGAAAAGCAGATCTGTGGTTTTTAGTGTAGAACACAATGTTTGCATTTATTTCGGTCGCATGGCAATGCAGTCTTACGTGCAGACTTATTTAAAAAGTCTGTGCTGCATTACCTCTTGACAATAACGTAACTGTTTAAGCTTGAAGAGTCTGATACTTGAGTTTTAAACCACAAGGAAATGGTTAGAAAATTGCTGCATGAAAGCCAGGAAAAAAACATTTAGAAAGCAGTTTATAATAAATGGGTTGGAACATACACAATGGTATGGAGATAGCACTGTGTTTTGTTCAGAGGGGGCTGTACCTGGAAGACCTGCATCTGCTCCAGAGTGACCTCCTGACCCTGACCTTGTTCTCTGGGGAGATGGATGGCCTTCAGCACGAGGCCCGAGTCTGCAGAAGTATACAAAAATATCTTATCCATTGTGAAAAAAACACACACATTAAGAGTAAAAACGCAGGGTAAAGGTCCAGCAAAGACAATTTACCCGTGCCGATGAACAGGACGTCGTAGGTGCCGTCCACGGCCTCCACTCTGTCCACCAGCAGTTTGCTGAATTTGTAGTGAACACCCACTCTGACCAGGAGGGGGCGCTCTCCCAGAGGCAGCACATTTTCCTGAAAAACAGTCACAGTTTAGGGTTTTGAATTTTAAAATGCAAAACATGTGGACGAACAATGGGGTTTGTTTTATAAAGTTTTTGTCATATTTAGCAACGCTTATTGCATTTCTAAATTCCACATATGAATTGGGACAAATAAAAGGTTTGAGGCTATGCAAAACTAGAGTGCAATCTAATTGAATAACATTGTTGTAATTTAAAACAGTGAACTATCATTTGTACCTGCAGCAGGGGGTGAGTCCTGCTGAAGAAGATGACGTCGTCAGGATATTCTCTGGTGGAGCTGTAACTTCCATAAGTGCTGCTGGGACACTACGAGAAGAAAGAAGAAAGTAAAAGAGAGAAAAACACAAGGTGTGTGGAAGACATGGAGTGTTTTGTATTCATGCCTGAAGGAGTAACTTACAGTTCCTGGTCGCGGGTAAGGCACCTTGCCTGTGAACTCTGCCCACTTATACTGAGGCCCCTCCTTATGAAGGAAGTTTCCTTTGAAAGCCCGAACAACATCCTCCATCCGGTAGACGCACACTGCTGAACCATTCAGGATATCACTGCGGAGACATGAGAGAAGGGGAACTGTTAGTCCCTGCGGCGCACATGAATAAAAACATAAACTGAGCAGGTCTTTTATGAATTCACTTGAGCAGTTACCGTGGTCGTAAAGCAGTGCATTAAATAGGAGAGTGATGTAGTGTGTGCACTGCATGGAGGCTGTGAGTCATTGTGGCTTTCTCAGCCTGAACGCATCAATTCACTGAGCACGGTCCAACCCAAAGTCCAGCCTGGATGAATGCGCTGCTTTCAGCACATCATGGTTAGGATTTTTGCCTAAGTGTATCTGAACTACAGAAGGCAGTTGATGAGCAGAGCTGCTAGAAACAGAGCAGGGAGAAAGGCAGGGCTGTGATCATGTGACTGACACATACAGTTTGTTTAGTCTCATGTTGCTCTGGAGAGAGTGTGTCAAAGTACTTGGCAATAAACTGGATTCGGATTCTGAAACATACCACATACTGCATGTGATAGATGGTCAATCAAATGAAGAAATACAAAAACGAAATGATACAAGTAACAGTGAGGGATCTGCAGCCTGTGCTCTTAACTTCCTCACAGGGACACAAACGCCTGTGTGTGCATTCATGGTTGAGCAGAGGGAGAGGTTTCCATTCAGAGGGGATGACCTCTCTGCATCCTGCAGCTCTGTGGTGGGGACCCCACCCTGGGTGATGCTTTGGATTTCTGTCCGTTCCCCGCTGAGATTTCAGACACTTTCCAAAAGCCAGAAGTGGACCAACTCCCTGCTCCGCCGGCCAAGTGGCGTCATACCTCTGTTGCTACTGTGGAGCCCTGGCTGTAGCTCGGAGTTACTGTCAGTGCGTGAGGAGCCTCAGTACGTTTGGAAGAAATGAGAAAGTGCAGGCTTTCTTAGTTTGTTGCTCACTCGCTCATATGTTCTGGATTTTCCTCACTTTATAATACCTACCCCTTTTTTCAACCACTGCTTAGTTTTCAGTATATTTTTTCGAGGTTTGATTTTTGAGTGTGAGACATTTTTTCGAACTAACTGGCTTCTATCGTGCAGTTTGATGTGCTTGTGTTATTGCTGTGAGCCAAAAACACTATTTGTTATGATTACCATTTTGTAGATACTAACAGAAAGCATATTGTCTATAGTCTCTAATCAAATCAGTGCTGCTTCATATTTTCAATGTTTTGTTCAGGCATGTTTTTTAATAAAGATGGCAGTTGCACAGCCTGTTGTTTATCTGGTCTGATAGAGCATATTGTATTTTGAAATGTCTATTCCTGTGTTTCTCTTCATGTTTCATGTTGTCTCCTCAAAAAATCCCAGAGAGAAAGGAAACATAAAGGGAGAACAAAGCGAATCCAATGGCTAGAAAAAAACGTTTCATGCTACATTATCTCACACACTGTACGTACTTTGTGCATTACAGTCGATACACTAATGATGATGATGAGAGGACGAAGGCTCACATGAGCTCATTACAATGAATGTGTTTCATTCATTAGTCACAGGGACGGTGAACTGTGTGTCTCTCCCAGTGTGTGACATCATCTCTGTCAGTGTGACATCGCATCATGTCACTATGTGAGCTACTTCTCCATACAACATACACCTGTTTTATAGAAAAACTGTTTCTTTGTTTCTTATATCAACTTTTTCCTCTTTTAAAATAGCATGTTTTAGTATCCTCCATAAAAATGTAATCTTTCTGTCGGGTTGTGGATTATTGATCAGGTTTCAGGTCAGTTGTGGCAAATCTTCACTGTATGAATCCTGACTAACTTAAACGTCATAATCATGTATTGCCTAATGCGGTCTTTAACAGTTTCAGTCCCCATGATCAATAATTGATTTCTAACTCAAAACAAAAAAAAGTATTATATCACATTTACACCTAAGGGGCCTGTAGTAACTCACCTAGAGCTAAATGCCTTCTTTAAACTCAAGAGTATTTCCTTTTTCAATCAAAGTTAAATAGGATTTGCTGCTCTATACCACATCCCAGCTCAGCCTCAATATATCTATAGGGGTTGTAGGGTGGCTTGTTTATTTTTGTTATACGTGTTTATCGGCAATCAATACATCAAATGCTCTCACAAAAAAAGAAACAATCTGTTATTCACAGCTGTTGCAGGATTGTAATACTTCTGCCCAATCATTTTATTTATCCTGATCCTTCTCATAATAGTTATTTTGGTGGTGGCCTGAAGGGACGGGCTCTCAGTGTTTCCATCTGTTTTCTCGCTTGGTTTAGCAACATTTGAGCCAGTGCTTGGAAAAGCTTTGGCAACATTAGGCTGTTTTTTAAGTTTGATCATCTTTTTCAAATCTTACCCACCCTGGATTAAATCAATGTGTTTTTTTCCCAACTATGAGCAATCTCTGTAGAAATGAAAACTCTCCACCCAGAGGAAATTCAAGACACTCCCAGTGCCATCATACTGGGACTCAAACAAGAGTGCACAGATGACAACACGCTGTTTAATTGATCTAAAGCAGGGGTCTGGGGACATGTATAGCCTAACTGGATGGTCCTCACTTACTATGCGTAGGATGCAGCATTGGTTTTTATTAATGTATAAAGCCATTTTAGGTAAGCTTCCACTGTACATATGTGCCAGATTTGCCCCAGTTTGTGACTCTTACAACCTCAGATCCAGTGCCTGGATACGGTTCCAGGTTCCTGCTGTGCGGACTGAGGCTGGAAAAAGGAGTCTTTTTTATTATGGTCCTTGGTCTTGGAATGACCTTCAATCAAGCCTCAAACTGAGGGCACTTGTCTCAATAGCATGTTTTAAATTGAAGTTGTCTGAAGTCCTCACCACCAGCTGCTCTTGCAGTAATAAGTAGTGTACCTTTCTTACTGTCCTAATGTGCACAATGTAGTGACTGCTTTTTCGTCTTTTGTTTTCTTAGTTATGTTCTCTGTATGTTATGTGTTTGTGTTATGTGCTATGTGTAACGTTGCTGCCTTCTTGGCCAGGTCAGCATTGAAAATGAGATTTTATCTCAATGCTTTTATCTGGTTAAATAAAGGTTAAAAAATAAAAAAAATAAAATAAATTTCCCCCCTGTCCCCAGTGGAAATTACGCCATGCTTGTGTGTGCGTAAGTGCAATATATATGCAAGTTGCAACACACACAGAGTAAAACTCTGCCCCTCATGTGTTGTATAGGCTGGCACGACTAGGCTGTTCAATGGGGCTGATGTGTTGTGTAGATTCTGCCAGAAGGAAAATCAAGGTCAAACTCCTTATGAAGCGGTGAGGTGCCGCTCCACATTGCTTTTCTTCCCGACTGCAACGCTCGTCCCGCAAATCAAGCAAGAACGTGATTGGTCGATATTCATTGTGGGGGCGGGGGGAGGAGGGGTGTTAGATAAATAGAATTGTAGTAAGTAGATAGAGTTCGCTATGATTGAGGTTTCGTTTATGCATAGGGTAGATTCGTTTAATTACATTTCCTTTTTTTGTGTGTGTATTTTGTACATTTTGGATTTGCTTGGCGAGCTACTTATTGAGGGCTTACGAGCTACCGGTAGCTCGCGATCGACGTGTTGGAGACCCCTGATCTAAAGTATATTCCCTTGTTTTCTGCTTTACATTTGGTACAAACCTGGAAGTGGTGAACAGGCCATAGATGAGCGGGTTCTTCTTGTCTTTGGCCTGGAGGATGAAGATGTCTTCTGCATTGAGAGAACAAGGAAAGGAGGAAGGGATCAGGAAGAGGAAGGAGACAAAGAGGTAAAACATTAGTAAAGCATTCCAACTAATGGAGAAGTTTTGAGAAGAGTCACACCTGTATGAGGGTGTGTGTGCATCTATCAGTGTGACTGTGTGACTAATAGCGCTGGGCGTGCTGGCAGCATGGCTGACTGACTGCTGGAAATGAACCTGTAGCCATTAATTACAGGCCGCTGTGGGAGAGATGAGCACGGGGTCCGCCACAGGAGAACAACACCTGCTGTCTCTCACACACACACACACACACACACACACACACCACACACACACACACACACACACACACACACACACACACACACACACACACACACACACACACACACACACACACACACACACACACACACACACAGCCGATCATAACGCTGATATGTTTCTCTCACTCCGACTGCTGTGCCTCACGCAGCGCAATCTGGAGGAGTCGGTTATTGTCTCCATCTGTCTGTCTTAAAAACGTGATGCATGAAAACGTGATCTCATACAACACTGGCAGTATAGATTTTTGAATAGTCTTCTAGCAATTGAGTTACAAAAATGACTCCTTGGCGATGTTTATATAACCATATATAACAAAGTGAATAAGTTCTTTATTTATTTTTCCCAGTTGTTTTTCTCTACATCTTTTCTTCATTTTTGTAAGTACGTTTGTTTGGTTGCTTGTGTAAAGTGTTTTTTCTATTGTAAGTGTCTTAGAAAAGCACTATTCAAATGAACTTAACTATTTATTATTACTAAGATATACGTATATCATACACCAAATCTGATTTAGAAAACTTTTAAAGAGATGGTGAATCAATGCATTGCACTTAATGTCATTTTCGAAAGATAAATGACATTAATTATAGCTCTCTGAACTAACTCGGCACAATCAACAATCTCCACAGGAGGTCTGAATCAATCAGCTGCAGCATGGTAAATGAAAATTGACTTAAAATACTTTGATCACAAAAAGGTTTAATTAAAAGCTATCCTGCAGAGCTTTTGATCTCTGGTGGTACGATAGAACTAGGCTTTGATGAGCAGGTCCCAGATTTGTTTGTATGTTTTTATATATCAGCATTACGTCCATCAAAAGTAAATGGTTTATAATTAATGTTGGCAGACTTGGAGAAAAAAACCATTAAAGTGGTCCCTGAGATGTAAGAACAAAGCAAACTGCTATTCCAAAAACTCCATATCCTATCATTTATCTCCTGGGGCTAATCACTGTTTTCAAATGAAAGTGCAAATGAAGCATGTCACAAATCAATTGAAATAATAATAATAATAAACAGACTGACAGGAATGAAAGAAATAAACAGATGGCAGCAGTCAGGAGAACAAAAAACATCTTTTAAAAGTCTCTCACTAACAAACTAAATAACAAAAATACATCATGTTGTTATATTTGTTTCCAAGAAAATTCTACAGGGGCGGAGTGAATTATGTTCTCACATTTGAAAAGGCTTATAGTTTAGTATTGTAAAGTATAGAACAGTATGCTATTGTATAGCATAGTATAGTTAAGTATAGAATGGTATAGTTTAGTATAGTAAACTATTGAATGATATACTATTGTATAGCATCATATAGTTTTGTTAAGCAAAACTATACTATATAGTACTATACTATACAGTAGTATAGTATACTATTGTATAGCACAGTACAGTTAAGTATAGTAAAGCATTGAATAGTATAGTGTAGTATAGTATACTTTTTTATAGCATTGTAAAGCATTTTATAGCATTGTAAAGCATTGTAAAGCATTGTAAAGCATTGTAAAGCATTGTAAAGCATTGTAAAGCATATTATAGTATATAGCTTCGCGTCGGGCCGAACCACGCCCCTTAACTGTGATATAATGGCCATATACCACGGCCTGTCGTGAGCTATTGCTTAAGTATAGAATAGTGTAGTCTAGTATAGTAAAGTATAGAATAGTATAGTTTAGCATAGTATAGTTTGTTAAAGTATAATATAGTATTGTAAATTATAGAATAGTATAGTGTATTATGTAAGGGATAATGTGCAGCGAGGTGGTCATTATGGGTAAAAGAACACCCGACAGGCTGATCAGGAGCCCGACGCGAAGCGGAGGGATCTTGATCAGCATGAAGTGCATGCAGTTTGCTTTTCAGCCAAACTGTATACAGTTAAATCGACCGGACTTCTTTCTGCAGATGTGAGCGTCCTTAACAACGGTCAATAAGTCCTTGACAGCGGTCTGTCTGTACTGGATTAACAACGTGTCACGTGTTCTGAATTGACCAATCAGAATCGAGTATTCAACTAAGCCATGTAATAAAGTTCAGTATAGTATAGTTTAGTATATTGTAGTATAGTATAGTGTAGCATAGTATAGAATAGCAGTGTAGCATAGTTAAGCGTATTATAGTTTGGTATAGTATAGTTTGGTAAAGTATAGTATATAGTATAGTATAGGTAAGGATAATGTGCATATTACTTATATCACTACTTACTTTGAGTTCAGTTGACACATAACTAGCCCATTAATCAACAGGTTAGAATTACACATTTTGGGGCTCACAAATTGAAAGGAATCTTGGAACTGTTTTCTTGTGTTTAAAAATAAATCACAGTTGCAGAGACTTGAAATGCCAATCATATTTTCATCCTTTTTGCCCCTGTGTTTCTAGTGTTGTATAATTCAGTTGTCAGCTGTCACAGCACAGACGCCGCACAGTTTATTTAGATCACAGGTGTTTTGCACTTTTGTCTCAGCTAAGAGTTGGGAATGTTTTCATCATCATATCACAACGGAGGAGAACAGAGCACTTTGTCTCCGGTGTGGCATGCTGTGATAATCTATAAATACACAACTTGACTCTGCTCCTAGGTTACGGCGGGACAAATAACTTTAAAAGTCTTAGAAACTCTATAAAAAGGTTTGTACCCGGAAAGTACTCAGGTTGATGTCGAGACACAAAGAGTTTTACAACCTTTGTAGCCGTGAAGGTTGAAATAAGATGTTTTAAAACAATGTTTGGGTGCGCTCTACACGTCTCTGCTTTCATCCTCCTCTCCTTGTTTCCTCTCCTCTCCGATGAAGCAGAAATGTTGTTGTGGTGGCGGAGACAGTGAAGCGTATCACTGTCCCCACATTCCTGACGTTCCCGCTGCTCTAGATGGCCTCCATGAAACTACAGCCCTGCAGGACGTCTAATCTCATCTCATCTCAACACACACACACACACACACACACACACACACACACACACACACACACACACACACTTGCCACACACAGGGATTCAGGAGCGCATCCACATCGAACAAAGAGATATAAAAGCATGCATTGCCCCCCACACACACCAAGCAGCAGGGACCAGAGCACAGAGACGAACACATGCTGATACTGTACGTATAGACAGACATATATACAATCAGTAGGCCCCTCAGGGCAGAGCAGAGAGGATTATGGGTAGTCTGCAGCCTGCAGCATATCACTCCCTCCATTCTTTATTTAAGGTTTCACTTCTTTATAATTAAGTTTGCTTTATCGCTTCTGCTTTTAGTAAATGACAAGGCAGAGGTCTCATTTGTGCATCTTTACTTCTGTCCTGGTCCTCTATCCTACATATGTGAGTCATATGGTAAATCATCCCTTCTTCTCCCCCACCTCCTTTCTATACTAGTTTCCTTTCCTTCTCACATCTTCCAAAATATCTCCCTCCTTCTGTCATCAAAGCCATTATCTTGGCTACATTTTCTATTTCCCCCTCCTTCTACTTTTATTTATAGTATTTTTTTATCTGGATAATATATACACTCTTTGGTGAACGCTTCCACCCAGAGCACATCAAAGTGTTTTCCAAGGAAGGGATGAGTCAAAAGAAGGGCACAGGAAGATTTACATCTCAACCTGCAGATCTGAGTTTTATAGCCACACGTACAGAAGACCTTTCTGTACAGATCAGAGAGAGAATGTCTTTACACCTGGCACACAAAAACCCAATAAAACCCATTTGTAAGTGTGCACTCAAACTCTAATCATCAAAATCACATCTTTAGAGGTAGTCAGCCATATTTGGCCACATTGACGACAAAGTGTTGATGCAGTTTATCTGAGGAATGGTAAAGAAACCTTCATGTGAAGAGGTAATGAACAACAAAAGAAGATGCAGCCAGTTCAGATAAAGTGTTTACTTTAACATGAACAGAACACATATCTTCTAGTCTGATGGCCGAAAGACATTGGTTCATATTAAGCTAGATTTGGATAAAAGGTGACCAACTTAGTGTACTTATATTGTCTGTATCTTGAATTTGTTAGAAGAGTCTTAAACCAGGTTTTTATAATAGGTGATATAACAGTACTATGTTGCTACGTATTATTCTTTCTGTGTCTTTGTAGCACTACACACTGTATATCAGAGCAAATTCCTCGTATGTGTAAACCTATTTGGTAATAAAACCGATTCTGATTGTGAATCATTATAGAGATTAGCTGAGATACCTTAAGTAGATTACAAAGCTTTAAAGGATTTCCGGAATAGACCTCCTTTGAAATCAATTGAATCACAGTATAATGAAATTAGCCTTGGGGAGGCCTAGTTGTACCTTCTAGAAACCATTTAAGAGGTATCCTCATTTGCAATGGTTATGAAATGGTTGACAAGCCCCCGAGTCCCCTTACATTTGTGTCAGTTGATTCACTCAAATGTTTTCTCTTTTTTAGCAGGGCCACTGTAAACAAAGCAACGCCGAATACTACAACAGAGACTCTGTGTTGGTTAAAAACACTTTTCTACACTATTCTGTTCGTTTTTAATATCATTAATGACCTGTGTTAAAGAACTCATGAGAAAAACAACAGATTGAAACAAGAGAATGAATCGCACAGAGAAAACGTACTGGTGTTTTAAGGTGTGTCTTCACGCTGAAAACAAGTTACAGCTGTGGGAAATGGGAACCTCCATTTTCTTTTCAAGTCTTGGAT